GGCATACATGTTTTACAAACATATCTTGTTTCTAAATGTTTCTACTTGAAACTTTATTAATATCTGTCTTATTATCACCTACATTTATTTCTTTTTTCTTACTTTCTTTCTTTCTTCCTTTCTTTCTTTCTTCTTCAAACTTCAAGTATATGTTACTTTTTGTTACTAATTTCATGTGTGAGAAGATTCAATACTCTAGTTTGACCATTTCCAGAATTATGACCCCCTTGAACTTAGATTATATTTCTTGAAATTATGATTTCTTTACTCAAACTTCTTGATTTCTTAAACGATTTACTTCAAACTTTAAACTACCATATCATAATAATATGACAAGCTTCATCAATCTAGCGTCCATATATCAAAAATTATCTCCCCCTTAAACTTTGAATTTTCCTTATTTATTCTACAATTTTCTTATTTCTTCGTGCATTTACTTCATATTTCAAATACATTTGTATATGTTCATTATCAACACTAAATTATATGTGAGTAGATGTATAAATCTAGTGCCTGGATTTCCTTGATTAATATTATTCTGAACTTCGAATATATTTGAAAATTGTTATATATATACATATTTTTTTAATTTTCTGCTTTGTTACTATCACATGTATATACGTTACCATCTGCTTTAGACTTAAGATATTTCTTCTTTGGCACCACTCACATCATGTATGACGAGGCTCAGAAGTGTAGCATCTTCATTATAAGAGTTATCGCCTCCTTGGTTTAATGATTGTTCTTTTAAAAATGTTATATACTGGTTTAAAACAGGGATGAATAAAGGTTTGCCCTCTGTTTACCCGTCCCTAAAATCTGTTTCACCAGATTACGTTTAACGAACTATGTATAGGAAGCTGCGTTTCCTTTAACAGGACATGTAAAGTTGGTATTTTCTTTAAATTACTTGGCGGTAAAATAAACAAGAAGTATCTTTAAAAAGATACTCGGATTTTACTTTCATAGGTTGTTAATGAAGAAATGTTAACTCGTTTTAAAAATAACTGTAAGTTTTAAATGTGCAAATTCTCAGTCGCTGAAGGCCCTTTTTCAGACTTTGAAATTGGATTGACCTGAAACACAATACTAAGAAAATTACAAAAAAATGCAATATTTGTTACACAATTTCCATTTATTTACGCAGTCTTTACTGACTAAACGTTTTCTTAATATGATTATAGTATGTTTTATATTTATCTTTTTGTGAATGTAGTTAACAATAATTAGACTAAACTGAACGCTTTATTAAAAAATAAATGGTTTGAAATGTTAAAAACCCTGATTATTAGACGGCGTGTGCACACGGCAGCTAGTAGATATGCATTCGCCCATTCAGCAATGGGGAAAATTTTAGTTATTTTGGTTTTCAGATTCTCTAATAAAATATTTTTTGGACAGGGGACCAGAGAAAAGCACAGGCAAAGGACACATTGTCCATGTCAATAATAGTCAAATTAACATAAAAACACCCCTGGATCATTAACAGCATAATTACTATCCAGCACCCGTTACTATGTAAAAGAAAGAGCATCGAAACACGAGGTTATCTGATTTACGAGAGTATTAATCAGATTGCCGAGTGTTATGATGTCCTTTCTCTTTTGTCATAGTCAAACATTAAAACACGTTCCCAGTTGTCACAATATGAAACCCCGGAGAAAAGTTACCAATGAACGAGCATTTAAATATGATATTTCTGTCGCTTTCACTTTCCATGCCGTCACAATAAGTAAACCCCAGCAAAAATTAGCTAATCAATGGGCATGCTCTGGGGTGTGGGTTACTAATACCTGCACTCCAGTTAACGCGCAGTGATATGTATACGATTTAACTCAGACACATTTTCAACAGAAAGGAGCCAAAACTATGATACAAATAATACATATACAAGGTATGTTACTTAACGTAGCGAATTCATCCGATACAGTCAACATTTTCCTCTCGTATTTTTTAGCTCACCAGAGCCGAAGGCTCAGGGTGAGCTATTAGTATCAAAAGGGGATGCTCCGGCGTCCGTCGTCCGTCGTCATGCGTAAACAATCGTCTTCTTCTCTGAAACTACTAAGCAGATTTACTTCAAATTTGGTCTGTAGCATCCTTGTGACAGTCACACTTGAATTTGCTCATGTCATTCCCATTGGCCCCTTAAAGGGGTCAGCAGAGCTAAAAATAGAAAAACCTTTAAACATCTTCTTCTACGGAACTAATGGATGGATGATCACCAAACTTTGTCTGTAGCATTCTTGGGAAGTCTTTTATCAAGTTTGCTTATATGAATTTGATTGGCCCCTTTTAGGGGCCGCTATAGCTAAAAATAGAAAAAAAACTTTAAACATCTTCTTCTACAGAACTAATTGATGGATGATCACCAAACTTTGTCTGTAGCATTGTTAGGTAGTCTTTAATCAAGTTTGCTCATATTATTTTGATTGGCCCCTAAAATTAAAAATAGATAAACGTTTAAACGTCTATTGCTATAGCACTAATCGATGGATGATCACCAAACTTTGTCTGTAAGAATCTTGGGTAGTCTTTTATCAAGTTTGCTCATATTAGTTTGATTAGCCCCTTTTAGGGGCTGCTCAAGCTTAAAATAGAAAAACCTTTAAACATCTTCTACTACAGAACAAATTAATGGATGATCATCAAACATTGTCTGTAGCATTCTTGGGTAGTATTTTATCAAGTTTGCTCATATTTATTTTATTAGCCTCTTTTAGGGTCAGCTAAAGCTAAAAATAGAAAAAAAACTTTGAACATCATTTCCTACTTAAATAATTGATGGATGATCACCAAACTTTGTCTGTAGCATTCTTATGTAGTCTTTGATCAAGTTTGTTCATATAAATTTGATTGACACCCATTTTGGAGCATCTAAAGCTGAATGCCCCGGGCCATGGCATGTCTTCAAATTATAGTTTAATAATGAAAGGAAAATAACTCATGTTGGAATGTTTCTATACATGTGTACATGCATACATGTGAACTCTCCCAATTTGAGTGGGAGACAACCTCTTTCTAATGTCAAATTTTTAACTGTTTTTCTTAGAATAAGGGGTGTTTTAAAAAAATAAAGAAATCTCCCTAATTGGCCCTCATTAAGCATAGAAAAGAAGAAGTCAGATCAATAATTAATCAGGCTCTTAAAAGATTATGCACGGGCGTCATTTTCTACAAAACGGCATTAGCAGGTGTCTTCCATAAAACCATTTTTGCAACATTGAATAATCAATGTTTCGACTTACCTACTACACCCCGTACACTTGCTAACAGTTTTACATCTACACCCCGTACAAAACCGTGCTAGACTCTGTACACTAAGCAATGTCTTTTTTTCGCAAATTTTGATGAAAGCAGCTCGATTGATGGATGACCACTCAAATACAAGTAGAAAGAAGTCTGTATTTTATATTAAATATGGATTTTGATACAACAAATGCCTTTTGGGTCTTATTTACACGTAAATATCAACATCGTTCGTAAATGTCAACAAAAACGGTACAATTTATCGCCGATTTAACAAAAAGTATTCAATTTGCAGAGAAAAGAAAATACTGCTCTAAGCCCCGACATATATACCTTCACAAAATTGTAAAGTTTGGAAAAATTGATGGAGTTATGATGGAGAAATAAGTTGAAACATTACCTTGGGTGAACTCGACGTAAACATTTTACTTTCGTTTCGGAGTTTTGAGGGGCTATATCCGGTGGACGCTGTACAACAGTGATAGTACAAAAATACATTTCTAGCAGTAGCAGTAATCAAAGCGCTGAAAGCACTGCTGGGGGCGCATTATGTTGATTGTATAGTGGTCTATTGTTACAAGCAGATGCCATTCCTACTTTCAAAGCAGATGTCACATTTTTACTCGATTATTCGATAAGAATAAGTAGAATTATCCTAGTCATCTGAACATTGGCGTCTATCACCTCAATTTTACCGAAGTCCATTGACACATGGCATTGAAACTTTGCACACTTGATCCCGATCAGGCACCCATTTGTTAAAGATTGCCTATGGCTTCAAGATATTTTCGTATTCCATAGACATCTGGCTTTGAAATAAATTGAAATTTTATACATTTCTTTGCGAGCATACTAGCTAGGACTCTCTCCAATGCTTATATCTGTAGAATATTGGGTTTAAAGAAATTTTTTGGTCCTTTTGTGAACTTAAAATATTTTAAATAACCAAGGTTCTTCTATTGTCAAGCACTAAGCATATAGTTGAGTGTGCTGTCCTACCAACAGCTATTGTTTGCATACCTTGCGAAATATAACTTCTTCAAACTTTTGTTCAGTTATAATTATGCAAACACAAGAACTGTCTTAGGACAGTAAGGCTCGACTATTCGAAAAAGTTGTCACAAGGGTGTTTATCGAGTATAAAAATGCTTACCAATGAATACATAAAACTGACCGAAAAGGTACAAAGGCTTGGATTAAGATGTTTTATCAACTAAATCACTGCTTTATTATCATGAATGCATAAAATTGTCCCAAAAAAGGCACAAACCCTTCAGTAGCTATGGAGATAACATGCTTACAAGCAAAACTTTACCATTAAATTCTAAGTTGAAAAAGGGGAGAAAAATCAGCCTAAATGCTCGATAAAATTATGGATCTTGGTCAGTAACCTACATGTACAATTATGACCTTAAATGCATGTGAAGTTTTAATATTGTAGGCAGAGTTATCCAACTTGTCAATCTGATGTACATTTTTACGATAAATAACTATTGTAAGTTTCAATTGAATATCTCAAGCAATAACTCAAGATATTCGACTTTAAAATAAAATTAAACCAACGCAGACGCGGACGCTGGGTTACTACAAATTCTACAATAGCTTTCATATTTTTCAAATAGTCGAGCTAAAAACTACCAAGTCATGGTTGACACCATATAGTTATTCCATATATAAATATATATATGTATATATCATGGAAAACATTTCAAGATGTTACAATGGATTGTAGTGTATAACAAGAAAATCAGTGTACTTTAACTTTAATCCAATAATCATACAAACATCTGTAAATAACTGGAACAAAATATTTCTTAAATAAAACCATACAAAACAAGAGGGCCATGATAGCCCTAGATCGCTCACCTGACTTATCAAACTCATCCAAACAATTACCTAGACAAGCATTCTGACCAAGTCTCATGACAGGTGAGTCAAAAATGTGACCACTACAGTGTTAACAAGGATTATCCATATTTGAGCAGTGCGACCTAGTTTTTTACCCAGGTGACACATATTCAAACTTGACCTAGAAATCATCAAAACAAACTGTCAGACCAATTTCCAGGATACTTGGATAAAAACAGTAGCAACTAGAGTGTTAACAAGATTTTTCTATTTTTAGCTCCGGTGACCTAGTTTCACATGCGATTTCGAACTCATCCAAGCAATTACCTAGACAAGCATCCTGACCAAGTTTGATGATAATTGAGTCGAAAATGTGACCACTAGAATGTTAACAAGGCTTTTCCATATTTGGGCTGTGTGACCTAGTTTTTCATCCAAGATGACCCATGTTGAATCTTGACTTAGAAATCATCAAAACAAACTTTTAGACCAATTAACAGAATATTTGGATCACACCAGTAGCCACTAGAGTGTTAACAAGATTTTTCTATTTTTATCTCCTGTGACCTAGTTTTTAATCCGAGATGTCCCATGTTCGATTTATTCCCAGCAATGACCTAAGCAAGTTTCCTGACCAAGTTTGCTAACAATTGAGTCAAAATTGTGACCACTAGAGTGTTAACAAGGTTTTTCTATTTTTAGCTCCTGTGACCTAGTTTTTCATCCGAGATGACCCATGTCCGAGCTCATCCGAGCTATCACCTAGACAAGCATCTTAATCAAGTTTGATGATGATTGATGCAAAAATGTGACCACTAGAGTGTTAACAAGGTTTTTCTATTTCTACCCCAGGTGACCTACTTTTTCATCCGAGATGACCCATGTTCAAACTCATCCGAGCTATCAACTAGACAGACATCTTGACAAAAGTTTGATGATGACTGATGCAAAAATGTGACTGCTAGAGTGTTAACAAGGTTTTTCTATTTTTAGCTCCGGTGACCTTCTTTTTCATCCGAGATGACCCATGTTTGTACTCATCCGAGCTATCACATAGACAAGCATCTTGACCAAGTTTGATGATGATTGATGCAAAAATGTGACCGCTAGAGTGTTAACAATGTTTTTCTATTTTTAGCTCCGGTGTCCTACTTTTTCATCTGAGATGACCCATGTTCGAACTCATCCAAGATATCAACTAGATAAGCATCCTGACCAAGTTTGATGATGATTGATGCAAAAATGTGACTGCTAGAGTGTTAACAAGGTTTTTCTATTTATAGCTCCGGTGACCTAGTTTTACATCCGAAATGACCCATGTTCGAACTCATCCGAGCTATCAACCAGATAAGCATCCTGACAAAGTGTGATGATGATTGGGTCAAAAATGTGACCACTAGAGTGTTCACAAGGTTTTTCTATTTTTAGCTCCTGTGACCTAGTTTTTCATCAGAGATGACCCATGTTCAAACTCATCCAAGCAATTGACTAGACAAGCATTCTGACCAAGTTTGATGATGATTGGTTTAAAAATGTGACCACTAGAGTGTTCACAAGGTGTTTCTATTTGTAGCTCCCAGAGATGACCCATGTTTGAACTCATTCGAGCTATCACCTAGGCAAACATCCTGACCAAGTTTAATGATGATTGGGTCAAAAATGTGACCTCTACAGTGTTCACAAGGTTTTTCTTTTTTTAGCTCTTGTGACCTAGTCTTTCATCCGAGATGACTCATGTTCGAACTCATCCATGCTTTCAACTAGATAAGCATCCTGACCAAGTTTGATGATGATTGAGGCAAAAATGCGACCGCTAGAGTGTTCACAAGCAATTGTGGACGGACGACGGACATTCACCGATCCTAAAAGCTCACCCTGAGCAAGCTCAGGTGAGCTAAAAACCAAAAACTGATGATGACTGAACGGGTATCACTTTATGCCTATAAAATTTTTTTTGCTCAAGTGATTTTTTTTCGAAGAGCTACATATGAAATTGCTGCCAAATATACATAAGTGAAATCTATTTCAAAGCTGCATGCATTCATATAAATATATTTAAAAAAATCAAACTTGATTAAATAAAAAAAAGTTCAAGGATAGCCCAAACTTGTTAATTATAAAAAAATATATATACAGAGTATTATGTTGTAGTAGCTCTCTGAGGCTTTGTATTTTGCTATGAGCAGTGGTGGGAAATTGATATCTTGCGAGACCAAAGGGCGAGCTAGATAACAATTTTCCAACATTGCAAGTAGAAAAATGCATAGCCTCAGAAAGCTACTACAACATAATTTTCCTTTAATAATATACCTTTTCGTTTGAAGTATAAATGATTTTCATTATACTACACTTATATAAGAAATTTCAGAAAAAGAAATGTAGCTGTCAAGAAATAAATTATGACTGACAGATGAATACGTAATTTGTGCAAAACCAGCCACACCTTTTATTATTTTGGTTGCCATTTCCATATACTATGTTATACACAGCTAAGATCAGAACCAACATTAACAAGAACTGGTTGATGCTCCCCGAGAAGGTTCTGGACACTGGAAAGTATAAAAAAAATGAACAAAGGGCAAAACCCCCAAAATTAGGCAAAGCGGAGTTATGTTTTTTTTTGCACTGCACTTCTATTCAATTAGATCTTTCTATCTATAAAGTTGCCTGATGATATCAGAGTTATGTCCAAGGTAAAATTCAAAGTGTAAAAATGAAATTAGGGTAATAACTCCAAAATTAGACCAGGCTTTCTTTAGGTTCTTTAAGCATTGCAGTTCTATCCAATTATATCTAGCTACCTACAAAGTTTCATGTTGATATCTCTAATAGTTTTAAAGTTATGTCTCGGACAAAAGTCAAAAAGTAAAAATAAACAAAGGGCAATTACTTCAAAATAAGGCAAGGCAGAGTAATAAGCACTGCTTAGAGTAATGTCCTGGACAGAGTTTAAAGTGTCAAAATGATCAAAGGGCAATAACTCCAAAAGTAGGCAAGACAGTGTTACAGTTCTTGTGCACTGCAAACTTGCTCAACGATATCTATCTACCTACAAAGTTTCATGTTGATATCTCTTTTACATTGAGAGTTATGTCTCGGACAAAGTTCAAAGTGTAAAAATAAACAAAGGGGGATAATTCAAAAATTAGGCAAGGGAGAGTTAAGGTTCTTGTTCACTGCTTACCAACTCAATGAAATCTATCTACCTACAAAGTTTCATGTTGATACCTCTTATACTTTTAGAGACAAAGTTCAAAGTGTAAAATAAAGAAAGGGGGATAATTCAAAAATTAGGCAAGGCAGAGTTACGGTTCTTGTGCACTGCATACCAAGTCAATGAGATCTATCTACCTACAAAGTTTCATGTTGATACCCCTTATAGTTTTAGAGTTATGTCCCGGACAAATTTCAAAGTGTAAAATAAACAAAGGGGGATTATTCAAAAATTAGGCAATGCAGAGTTACGGTTCTTGTACACTGCACACCAACTCAATGAGATCTATCTACCTACAAAGTTTCATGTTGATACCTCTTATACTTTTAGAGTTATGTCCTGGACAAAGTTCAAAGTGTAAAATAAACAAAGGGGAATAATTCAAAAATTAAGCAAGGCAGAGTTACAGTCTTGTGCACTGCACACTAACTCAATTAGATCTATCTACCTACAAAGTTTCATGTTGATACCTCTTATAGTTTTAGAGTTATGTCCCGGACAAAGTTCAAAGTGTAAAAATAAACAAAGGGGAATAATTCAAAAATTAGGCAAGGCAGAGTTACGGTTCTTGTGCACTGCACACCTACTCAATGAGATCTATCTACCTACAGTCTTTCTGAAAGACCGTCGGCCCTGACCGGTAAAAATCAGAAGGTCCGATAAAAATATATGTTTTGACGGCCCGACGGTCCGGTAAAAATTAAGGATTTATAAAAACCTTACATTCAACATTTTGCAAAGGCCGATCATTTACCTACATTCAAAACAAATCAAAATGTTGTCATTACACAATATAAGCTCGTGCAATGCTTGTCAACTGTTATGCATTCTCATAATGCAAACTTTAATGTAACAACGTAAGATAAAAATATCCGACAACTAGTACAAGTAAAAGTCAATAAGCGGCCATGTAAATTACATAAGCGGCCCAGATGTAAAAGGTCAACCGCTATTAGTTTGTTTACACAGATGAAAGCGTCAGTGAATTAATTGGAACAATTTACGTCTTTAATCCACAGACTTAGAGAAATGTTAAATTACATGTGTGCTCAACTGGTGTTTAGCTATGAAAGATCGTCCAAGATGTTGACAAAAATTAAACTATACTGTGAAGGTACCAAAATCATTGAACAATTAATCTGTCAACTTCACTAAATTACCGATATATATAATTCTGTTTACATATGCCAGACTTTTGCTGAAATTTACCCTCTCATTTTGCTGTATGAAATTAAAGTTTAAATAGCAAAATCCATTGAATACATGTATAACAATATTTATGTTTACATTTTGATTGTGGTGAAAAAAGATAACTTCACTTCGTTGATAATACAATTTTCTTTTTGTACACAAATTTTTTGACTGCTGACACTCAAATGACTCAAAATGCTATACCAATCAGGTTTTTTTCGGTCCAGTAAAATCATGTTTGGTCCAGTAAAAATTTTCAGTTTACAGGACCTACTGTCCAGTAAAACTCAGAAGTCTTTCGCATAGACTGTACCTACAAAGTTTCATGTTGATACCTCTTGTTGTTAAGTCCCGGACAAGAAAAGGGGATGGACGGACGGACAAGGCGGCGACTATATGCTCACCCGAAATTTTTCGGGGAGCATAAAAATTGTCCAGGCCTTTCATATATGGTACTGTTTTGTCTCTAACATAATACAGAATTTTCTAACCGTTGAAAACTATTTGCGCTTCAAGATAATCCTGTGTTTTAGGAAGAAAATTTATTGGTATATAATAAATGCTGTCATTGACATTTCTTATGCTTATATTTATTATATGTATTTCTTGCAATCCTATTTATAGCTACAAATTCTATGAATTAAAATAGAAAATGAAGGTAGCATGCAGACGGTGTTGATATTGTGTGATAAAAATTTAAAGATCATTGGAAATCATCCCAGTAACCGAATACTCTAAATGACCGAGTACTCGAGTATTGATTTTAGTAATTGTTGCCATCCCTAAAAAAATAAAGTACTTGACAAGATCAACTAACATCTAAATAAAAAACTTTGAAAACAGAATTAATTATTTTGAAAAATTCACTCAGAGCTGTATTATTTAAAATGGGTGTTCAAACACATTGAAAACATTGATAATTCATTTCATGTTCTTGGTGATGAAGTGGTGCCTCAATATAGTTATCACTGCAATCTATCTTCCCTCATAACTCCTACTATTACTGTATCTGTCAAACAAGCATCTCTGTTTTCTGAAATAGAGTTTGAAAAAGTTTATTGCTGACCGAGATATTCCATACTTGTATGTTAACTTTTTTCAGCATCTTTCTGTTAGAATTACTCTGATTTATAAAGGTTTATTTCATGCTTTCCAGTGTTTTATTGTAATATATCAGATGATTATATTCTGATAAACCACTAGTGAAATTTATAAAATATAATTTTCACTGTAGCCGGACTATATCTGAATGCGGATGAACAGATAATCATAACTAGATGGAATAACAGGCAGAAATAAATGCCGTCATACGTAAATTTTGCTTCTTTAGGAAAAGAAAGTCCATGTCATCATACATCATGTTAGAAATTTAACAAAATTAGAGAAATTTAACGGAACTAGATTTCAAAACTGATGATGTGACGTCATGATATTATGACGTCACAAAGGAGATGCGAGACGTTACGCGGCAAAATCAGTAAAAAAATAGCTTAAAATCACTTAAAAAGCATAAAATAAAAAGAAAATTTATTTGTTTTACATATAAGATTGAAATATATTTCATTCGTGAACACCAGCTATTATATTTTCACTCGTGGCTACGCCACTCGTGAAAATATTGCATCTGGTGTTCACTCAGTGAAATTATATTTCAATCTTACATGCAAAACAAACAAATATCCTCTATATAAAACCAAAAAATGCGCGACCAATGCCAGAGCTCAACCCCTCTGATCAGATTTCATAAACGAGCATCTGAGTAGAACCACCGCCTTTTTTTTAAAGCTAGCTGGATTGCTTTCTCACATTAAAGAATCCATATTAAATATAATAGAACATTGATAATTGCTACACAGTCTCTTTGTAAACATAAAATAAGCATGTTTTGTGTTTACATAAAGTAGCTATGTAATGTTAAAACACCACATGCTATAGTTGGTCACAATATAAATATATAGTGTTGTTAGGAAACTGACAGTTTTTTTAAGAAGGACCAAATTTTTTTTTTGTCTCGTAAGAAGGAACATGGCTTCCAATGCATAGTTAATTCATTCAAATTAGACATATTCAAAAAGAATTGCATAGAATTCAATACATTTTCATGATTAAAATATTTTACTGATGAGCATAGTATATCTTTAAAGGTAAGTGGTTTAGGTGCATTTCTTTGACTATGGTCACCCCAATTAAATCTATTTATTTGCTTAGTAACACAACTTTTTAAAGTCATATAAATTTGTAAATGTGAGTGATTCTGATAATCTATATACAGCTAAGTCAAGATGAGATGATTAGGTTTTACTGACTGCTTACTACATGAAGTCACTATTTCAATGTCAAATGCCTTGAGGTGAAAGGAATGAAAACTTGAATTTCAAAATACAATTTAAGTGAATTACATGTCACAAATGAGCCGTGCCATGACAAAACCAACATAATGGGTTTGCGACCAGCATGGATCCAGACCAGGTTAGTCTGATCAGGATCCATGCTGTTCGCTTACAAACCTTATTACAAGTAGAGAAACTGATAGCGAACAGTATGGATCCTGATCAGACTGGGCGGATGCCCATTATGTTGGTTTTGTCATGACACGGCTAAAACGTTTTTGCTATCGACTTTTGTTCCTAAATTAACAACAGAATGCATAATGAAAAGATATTGAAATAATTAATATACAATTGGCTCTTAGTGCCAAGCTTACAGATTTTAAATAAACCTTGAGCCCTGTGTTGGCCTTTAAACATGTCAAACATTTAGAAAGTATTTATTAAGGAAAAGTGTGTACAAATAATCATGTACCTCTTCATTATATGCCCATGACATTGTGTCATCTGTTTACTTCAAGGTTAGTCACATTGACAGTATCACATTTTAGACTTTATCTCTCTTGATTCAATTCATAAAAGGCATTCTCAAAATGGGTCCTCTTAATTTCACATTCATCAATCTGACAAAAACCTCCTGGAAAAGAAGTTAGAAACATATGCCACTAATTATGTCAGTTAATGTCAAATAAATACTTTGAGAAACTATTTGGTCAAAATTGTAAATGTACAAAGATTTTCAAACCAAATATATATATAACAATGAACATTTCCTTTTTAACTTTCTAACATATATAATGTATGGTCTTACTTGAAGAAAATGTTTGCCCGTGTGACCGAAAAGGGATTAAGGACCATTACTATTGTTTTTCCTTTTGTTTATTAAAGGGCCATGGCCCCATATTCTATTGTTATGGAATGAATCCTAGTGTTCTCTTTTGTTATGCTACAGTAAGATGGATATATATATCAAAGTCAGAAAAAAGCTAACATGTTTTTACCTTAATGGCCTGTATAATTATGTTTCACAGCTTCTCAGCAAACAACCAACTGAGCCACAATTGAAATCTAACAAACAAGCCTTTATTCACAAACCTGAAATAAAAACTTTTCCTAATCAATACAATAGTTCTTTTAATTTATTACATACTTCATTGAAACATTAAGAAATATTGATAAAGTAAAATGCTCATTTTCATTTCCTGTATTTTCAATGTAATTCTTCATTTTTCATTGCGTATTTTCACAAGTGTCTCCTAAATTTAGCCTATACACAATAGACTGTTAAGAATAATAGGGCAATTTCTTTATAATTTCAAGTATTTATAGTCGAAGCAGTCCTTTTTAAAGGCATATATATGGGTAAGTTGAATGTTGCATGTCCAGATATGATTGACTAACAATTGTAAAAGTGAGTAATAATTGTCGGAATCATAGCTCAATCGGTAGAGAACATAGCTCAAGGTTACCAGATTTCAAAAAAAAATAATATTAATTTTGTTCTGACATGTCAGGAACAACTTAGACATGTCAGGAACAACTTGAAATTTAAATGTGTTTTTCGTTTGATTGATTTTTGTTACCTATCTTACTTTTTCATTGAAGTATCTTTACCTTCTTAAAAATTATGCCCAAATCTCATTTCTTTCTCTTTTTTTAAAACTTCTTTTCATGAATTTAATATAAATATTTTCAACAGATTTTAAAATAATCAAAATACAACACTGTTAAGCATATATAACTGTTGTCAGGATTAAGTTTTGTTTCATCAAAAAAAAACTTGAATAGAAAATAGAACAGTTTCCACCTGTAGTTTGGAACCCACTAACTGAATTCACTTTTATATCAATATTATGCAGTCTTAAACTTATTTCACTAGTAAGTCAAATGATTTATTATCTCAAACAATGTAATTACATGTAGTATAAGTTTTATGGAAATAATGTGGTTAATCACTTGCAGTTAATCAAGGCTCGACAAATCCACTTGTCCGCTCATAAATGATAAATACGAGTAAAAATGACTCTGGACAAGTTAATCTCCCAAAAATGCCCGTCCTGCAGGACATGTGAAATTTCTAGCATAAATTAATCAAATTTCAATTCAATTCTTTTGAAACCATTTTTCAAGTTTTACTAGTAAGACAGAGCACAAAATAATTCCCGTGTGTTTGATGGGCAAAACTGATGTTGATTTGTTGAATGCAACGCTTAATTCTGTCCGATTCTATTTTGTAAAAACTTACTAAAAGCCTGTGCGGCGATTCCAGTATGTTCCACAAAATTTTTTTAAAATGTCACAATGCAATATTCGGCAAATGTTTAGTCAGAAAGAAGTTAGTTAAACAGTGTCTTCAAAAAAGAAAAATTGTCTTCAAAAAAGAAAAATGAGTCAGAACATGTAGGAAATTTATATTTTTTAAGCATTGTTGTTGTTTTTCGTTTTTCAATCCCTGATATATTATTTGTAGTATTTGTAACTATTATCTATTCTATTTGTAATAGAACAGCATTTTTCCCTTATAAAACTATTTACGTTCCCAATAAAAAAAGACAGCAAATTTTCAAATGTTTTATTTTTAAAGTCCCAAAATTACTGTCAAAATTCCCATCCAAAATTGGCATATATAAAATGGATGATTTCATATTGATAAGTGATATGTGATAAAAACCAAGTACAACTACATCTGACAGAGCAATATTTGTACCTAGTTCATTTTATACTTCCGAACATTATTTATGTACATGTACTCATTTTTTTCACTCCAATAGGAAATCAATATATTATGCATGGTTTAACTTTAAATGTGTATAAATATTATGCATAATTCTCATGTCTCCCTGGATAAAATTCAAAATTAACCATGTGGCATGAATACCTGTCAGTTATGTAGTATCAATTTGAGTCAAAACGCATTTTTCAAAAAAAAATTGTACTGGTAGCGTATAGATAATAGTTATCCAGAACTAAGCAAATGTCAGGGTTTTTCGATGCTAATCCCCAGTGTAAATATAATTATAACCTTACTCAAATTTCTTAAAATGAGGGGTGAAGTGTCTGCAAAAAAGGGCCTAGGGTGAAGTGTCTGGGGGGTGAAGTGTCTGTAAGCCGAGGTGATGGACAAGGCAAGACATGTCGATTTTTTGTAGCTTATTATGAAGTTGCAGTACAATGAGAGACTGGCACTACTTGTATATTTTTTATTTAAAAAAGCTGTAAGGTAAGCATCAACAATATGTATACGCTAGATGTAAATAACTCACCTCCAAAAAATATATAAAAAAAATGGGTCAAAAATGTCTGGGTAGGAAATGGTTTGAGGGAGGACTTTCAAGGGAAGGAACTGCTAAACTTAAAATTTGATAAGGTCAATTCAGTACCAAAAAGCTTTACCCGATAATGGCCGATTGTGAAGAAAATTTGTAAAAAATAGAGCTTTTAATTGCAACTTAAATATCAACGTTATGAAATATAAACAATGAACATCAGTCATCTTGAATAACGTTGTATTGAAAGTCATATCCGCGGATATGACTCATATCCGGTATTAAGTCAAACTCTTGTATTTTTTGTAAGCAACCAGAATCGCCAACGATTTCGCCACTGATAAATGGATAAATGCAAAACAAGCAAAGTTATTCAACAGTTAGGTAAATGGGAGATAAGGTTTTTGTAATATAAAACTTACAACTCGTTTTAACACGAGGAACTTCTATATAAACTTCTCAATCTTTCACGGATGAACTTGTAAACAATGGCGATTGCGGTAAAATGATGTTAGGGCGAAAATAGTTCGTATTCATACGCATGCATTGTTTTTCTTAAATTTACACTTATGAAGCATTAGGCCCTATAAGCTTTAAAGTTAGCTGATCTGAAATTCGTATTCCATTACTTGCTAAATTTTTGAGTTCTATGACACTTAATTAACTTGTGACTACATGTAATTTGTACTATATTTATGCAAGTACTTTGGCTATGATCGACCGCTGGCGTAGTAATATTTAAATCGCGTAAAGCAAAAATATACATACAATTTTAAAAGACGATTGCTAAATTTAGTACAAAATTGGCCAGTCAATTTTAAAATAGATAGGGAACTATGATTTTGGAGTTACTGCGAAGTTTTGGAACTATTTTGCTTAGCGTAGGTAGCTGACTATTTGTGGTCATATCATAGTAAATCTGAATTTGTCGTTATTCCATTGGGGCGCATTGCGCATGCGCCCCCAAAAACTATTTAAAACACTGAAATTATGATAATTTAGGACAAATGTGGACAATACATTGTTAAATTGCCTTTACTCTTATTATTCCAATTGATTTCCATAGGAAAGGTGCCCAAAATTCATTTCATAAAAGACAGGGGCTATGGACTTGTAAACAAATATAGCAGCTGTACATTGACGAATAATATGTACCGTATAGATCGTTGTTTGTTATCGTAAAAAAATCAATTGATAGGAACATTTATCTCTTCAAATTTAAATGGGTATCACACATGATTAATTAAAACATACTAACCTGTCTAATATTATCGATAAAATATCTCAAAAATTAAAAAAAATGTTTAACGACATTGTAACTAAACTACCGTAATTTGTAAACGCACCTACATGTAGATCTACATCCTTAAGAAATATACTTTGAAATAAATTGAAAATCGTATTTTTATGCTTTTCTTAGCCTAATTTGAGTGAAAAGCGTTTAAACGCTTTTCAGTTTAGGTCAGTTTTTTACATTTTGAATAATTATTCTGGAAAAACGGTGTGCGGAAAAAATATTTCAGTCCCATCATGTCAAAAAACCTTAGTGAAGTCCCTTTGAATATTTTTCTGGGTACGTGCGAAACCAGATGAAAATGGTAAATTTTAACTAATTTAAGGGCAAAAACTCTAAAAATACTAAATATATCCACATAAAAATACCCAAGTGCACAACATCACATGCTGATCAACATTCCAGTAAGGTTTTATGACTCTAGGTCATATATTTTTTGAGTTACGTGCGACACAAGTTGAAAATTGCAAATCTTTATTAAGTCAAGGGCAATAAATCTAAAAATACTACATATATCCACATGAAAATATCCAGGTGCACAACTTCACATGCTGATCAACATTCCTGTAAGGTTTCATGACTCTATGTCAATAACTATTGAGTTACGTGCGACACAAAAAGGGAACTGACGAACGGAAGGACGGACGGACAAGGGTAAATCTAAATGCCCCCTATAGTAGGGGCACAACAAAGATAATTAATGAAATGAAATTCACTCTCATTTAATCAAAAGACCTGTACATCCGCTGAATGAATTATTTCCACTGAAAAAAGCCCTTTAATTGGCAACAGTGTTTGGATGTCTTTTGTACATTTTTTAAGGCAGCGAAAACAACTTGAAAAAACTGCCTTATATTAAATAACTGTAATGTAGCTAACGATTTATTTATTTATTTGTTTATTTATTTATTTATTTATTTATTTATTTATTTATTTATTTATTTATTTACTTATTTATTTCTATTACAAAAAAGAAAACATTATGCCATTGCGATAAAACAGTTAATTTTTAGCAGAAACATCCCTTGATGTCGCCCCAGCCAGTGTTATATCCTCGTAACTAACTCGTTTCATATACTATAACTTTTACGTTATACATGATATACATGTACATATACAGTCATTGAAGTTGGATTTCTTGTTGTTGTTGGATTTTATTATGGCTGATTTTAAATATTCTCAAAATTTCATTCATGTTTGAAAGAATTTTCTATCGGTGTATTCTTAATTAGCATCATTCCGTTATTCATATGTTTGTTAAGACAGCGCATCGTATTCTTGCGAAGAACAGGCGAGTAACGTTACTGGTATAAACAAGGGGGCCATGATGGCCCAGAAGTCGCTCACCTGTATATAGGCCCAAGGAGCGGGACCAGTTTAAATCCCAGGGCTTTTATTTGTAGACACCCATTAGAAGATGTTTCACGCTAAACAATTAACATCTAAGGTCTAGCTCGTTGGGTTTTTTAAAAGAAGATTTTTTCAAGTTTTTTCTTTACACATATAGTTAAAAACAATGACACACCTGGGGTGAGCAAGTTTTGACCCCTGTGCTTTTATTTGAACAATATTTGTAGACAATTACTAGAAAATGTTCCATGCTTAATATCTTAACTCTAGCTATTCGGGTTTTTTCAAAGAAGATTTTAAAGTTTTTGCAATACACATATAAGGAAAATCAATGTCCCCTGGGGCGGGGCCAATTTTGATCCCATGGCTCTTTTTATAGCAAACTTGGTAGACATTTATTAGAACATGTTTCATGCCAAATATCTTAGCTCTAGCTCTTTGGGTTCTTTAAAAGAAGATTTTTATTTGTTTGGGTCGTCAGACCAAACAAATAATGGTAGCGAAATTTCAGAGTATAATGTTCTTAATTGCAAATGCCGAAAGTAGTCCACTTTTTTGAAGCGGTTACTTCCCTTTTGTATGTACACTAAAGCCGAAAAATTCAGGGGAGATCACTGCGTAAAGATAGTCAAAGACAGGCGCATCAATTTTCAAGCACAGTAATTCCCGAATGGTCGAAGGTTTCTAATATTGTTTTATTGTATTTTCTGATCGAAAATAACTAAATACAAAGCGGACATTCAATCTCTGACACAGAAGTTTACAACAAACCTAACAACAAGTAGTTCTCAAAACAGCTTAAAACTAGCGATTTAAAAGAAAGAAATATTTTATTTTGTTACAAGTATCCAACAAATTACAACGCATTTAAAGTTAAACAATAGCGTTGCCATGGCTTATAGAATTGTCAATAAATGCACAATCACAAATTACGCGGATGAATATGATTTTATCAATGAAAATACTATTTATAACCGAATACTACACAAACCGAGTAGTGGAATATATAGATTCTACATGTCGGACTGTTTGGGCGAGAGGATTTTCGCTAAAATATTTACTTCAATTTTAAACAACAGGTTTTCCCTGAACAAAATACCTCGAAATTACAAACCCGAAATGCAATGGAAGTTCTCAATTTAGAATGACTTGATATTATTCAGACCATCAGTGTATAACTTCTCCGTGGTACAGTGGTAACGCGCTCGCTTAGTGAGTGAGAGGTCTCGAGTTCGAATCCCAGTTGGGAAAATTTTTTTTCTGATAAATTCTTTTTTAAGTGTTTTTGTTAAGGAAGTAGCCATGATATGCAAGGATAAAGTGTGACTGTCGTAAAAAATGAACATAAATAATTTTTTGATGCAACTCTAGTAATGCAGAATTCCGTATGTATCAAACTCTGGTGCCTTGCAAAATGAATTATAATACATAAAAATAAACCTATATTGCAAAGATCAGAAAATACCACAGAACTTGCAGCACTTTGATTTTTTATAAATATAAATGCTTATAGTAAGCTCCAGGATTATTTACATCTGTGTTAAACAACAGTTAAAGTCGTTACAAGCCCTAATTTAGAATAATATGGTTTTCTTCAGCCCGTTCACATATAAATTCACCGTGGCTGAAGGGTTTTCGGGCTCGCTTAGGAAGCGAGAGGTCTGGAGTTCAAATCCCAGTAAAGGTAACTCTTTTTTTTCAAATTGTTAAAGTCAAATAAACATTGGATTGAATATCAGTGTTGCAATTAGTCTTATAGCCAATTTACTACAATTAAAACGCTGGAAAGCATTGGTGGCACTATACATATAATCTCACAACCTGCACCTTTCTTACATTCTGAGACCCAAACAAATTCAGCACCTTCTGTGCTTTGATTTTAAGTTTTTACAATATGCATATAGGGAAAATCAATGACCCCCTTGGGCGGGCCAATTTTTGACCCCAGGGCTTTTATTTGAACAAACTTGGTAGACACTTATTAGAACATGTTTCATGCCAATTATCTTAGCTCTAGCTTTTTGGGCTCTTTAAAAGAAGATTTTTTAGGTTTTTACTATATGCATATAGGGAAAATCAATGACCCCCTGGGGCGGGGCCAATTTTGACCCCAGGGCTTTTATTTGAACAAACTTGGTAGACATTCATTAGAACATGTTTCATGCCAAATATCTAAGCTATCGCTCTTTGGGTTTTTTAGAAGAAGATATTGAAAGTTTTTACTTTGGGTTGTCATGGCAACCAGAGTTCTGCATGGAACAACTTTGTTAAGGCTTCACACAAAGAACATCCCTGTGAAGTTTTATTATGAACTGCCTTATGGTTTCAGAGGAGGTGTGAACGGACGACGGACGACGGACGAAGAGTTATCCTAATAGCTCACCCTGAGCATATGCTCAGGTGAGCTCAAAAATCCAAATTGTAATGTAAAACAAGAGGGCCATGAAGGCCCTGAAGTCGCTCACCTGTATATAGGCCCCCAGGACAGGGCCAGTTTAAACCCCAGGGCTTCTATTTGAACAAACTTGGTAGACACCCATTAGAAGATATTTCACGCTAAACGTCTTAGGACTAGCTCGTTGAGTTTTTTAAAAACAGATTTTTTAAGTTTTAACTATACACATATAGTTAACAGCAATGTCACCCCTAGGGTGGGGCCAGTTTTGGCCCCAGGGCTTTTATTTGAACAAACTTTGGAGACACTCACTAGAAGATGTTTCATGCTTGATATCTAAACTCTAGCTATTCTGATTTTTTTAAGAAGATTTTTAA